TAATAATAATAATAAAAAAAAAATAATAAATAATATCAAGTTTACCCGAAAAAAAAAATAAAAAATAAAAAGAAAATGAAAAACGTTTGGGTAAATTCAACGTCGGTGAAAAGAAAAGAAAAAAAGAAGAAAATTCGTAAGGTCTCGTTTTTTTTTATACGAACAACACGTGTGCTGACGTACACGAATTGCATAAAAATGTAAATTTACGTTTTTCCCCTTAGGGGACTTACGAATATAATCGGTGAAAAGATAGGATGTGTATCGAAACAAGAAATGAATGGTCATCTGTTTCAAACGTTAAACACCATAAATAAATTCTTAAATCGTATGGGAATAATATATCTTCGTTTTTTCTTTCTCATTCAAAAATTTTAACTTATGTATTATATCATATATATTATAATTTTTTTTTAAAGATTTTTATGCATGTATTATAAGACAAAATATTAATTAAAATAATTTATGATAATTATCATTATTTATCATGTTAATATTTGTTCATTTTACAGGAATATTATTTTGTGTTTTTTATTTATTTTATTTTCGAATTTTCGTGCAAAGATCAAACGTCTCAATGAAATTGTTTATTATATTATTTAATTCTTTTTCATAATAGAAAAAAGAAACATATTTACAATTAATTTCTCATGAATATATATTTATTTATTCGATATTAATGCGAACCTTGCAATCCGGTTCGCGCCATTGACCGTTCGTGCATCGATCACTACTATAAAGCATGCAACATAAATTTCATTAAAAATAAATAATAAAAAAAATGAAGTCGTTGCCTCTTCGGATATTTTGTAATTCAATTCAATTCAATTCATTCATTCATTCATTCATTATTCCTATCTTCTGTTTAAATTAAAATTATATTCCTTTTTTTAATCTAATTTTTCTGTTTTTTTTTTTTTTTTTAATACAAATAATTACATGAAGCAACGATAACATTTGTAAGAAAGATTTATTATCCCCTTTTATATATCCCGTATATATAAATAATTTTATTTTACATTGTTAATTAAATGTTGTTTAACGCGTTAATTATCGGAGTTTAAATTCATGGGTTTTAAGGGTAATAGTAACGATGATATGAATTCTATTCTCTAGCTTTAAGTTTGACTTTCATTGAAATTTCTTGTTTGAGTTCTCTTGTTTGTTTCACTTTAGGATTTCGAAGTACTATGAGAAGATTTTCGTCCGGTTTAAATTCAATGCTTTATAGTATCTCAACAACAGTACTTTCGATTTACAATAAAGATTTTTCGGGATTTATAAACTTTCGAAGTAATATTTTGAGGTTTTATTTTTGGAAACTTGCAAATCCTACAAAGGAATAACGGGGTTGAACAACATATTATTCACAATTTGTTATGCACATAAATTGCACCAAGATACACTGCAATCTCGTAACAATATTTCGTATATTTTTCTTATGCACATTTATCGAATTTAGTTATCGTAAAATCTGAACAAATCGTGTAGTATAATAAATATAATATATTATTTAATTTTATATATATATTTATATTTATTATATAATATTAGTTTTTTTGATTCGAGGGGAAAAAAAAAATAATAAAAAGGGCTGGGGGTAGTTCATATTTTTCGAAATATCGTGTCACTACTTTGAAATATTCTTTCGTTTCGACAATTTGCAATATATATATCCATGACAATTTTTCATAGAAAATATTCTCGTTCTCTCAAACTGTATTACACATCAATTTATTTCAAAATCAAACGCGTATGCTGTATGACAAAATTTCTTTTTTCTCCTTTGTATCCCCATTCGACGATAAATTTGTTATATTCCGGTTATTTCATTTTCGGAAATATTCAATGAAATATTAATTGTTTATTTTTTTTCAATCGAAGCGTCCGTAAGTCGATTGATATTTTTTAAAGGGAGGTTGCATTTTACAAAACGTTTTCATGCACACAAATATCGTAGGATTTGTTTTTTCTCTTTTTTTTCTTCTTTTTATTACAAATAATTTCGCACAGGTGTTTGTTAAATCACGATTTTACAAAAGATTCGTTTCAACGTAATCAAATAATACGACAAATTGATCGAACTGAATTAATTGCATTTTTCTTTTTCCCTCGTGAATATTAATAATAGTTTCGTAACGTTTAAAATTAGGATAGATGAAAATTGATCCTACCAATATGATAAACGTAATTAATTTCGGATCAAAATACGAACAAATATTTGTTTAGGTGTAATATCCCTTGAGAATGTTTTGATAATCGAAACAGAATTAGAATACGTATTTTAACGGTAAATAATTTTCTGTTTATTACACGCGTGATTGAAATTATATTAGTTTAAAATTATATTCAAATAACAATTGATAATTATAAATTTTGTAAAACAATTCATCAAAATCTTGACGTAATTTTATCAAACAATTAATCAAAGATGTGATTGAAAATCCATTTATATGATTTATGAAAAGCATTAACTTCCGGTATAATTTCCTGGCTTGTGCGTTGTAATATTTTAATGAAGTTCTATGTACTACCGTAATCTGCCAATATCCATGGGGAATAGTTTCCATGGGCATGCGTGCATGTATATATATATATATATATATATATATANAATAAATTAGGACAGAAAATTAGGGTGACTTTTGTAATCAGAGATTTTTAAATGAAACGAGAAAGACAGAGAGAGAGAGAGAGAGAGAGAGAGAGAGAGTGAGAGAGAGAGAAATGATCTATAGGTTTGACAATCATTCAAATAAATTATTTTCTTCTTTAATTTTGTTTTTTGTTCCTTTAAGATAACGCGGTAAAAAATTGAAAAGAAAATTGCTGTTTTTTATTTTTTTATTTTTTTTTTTCCATCGAAACGAGTATTTCACACTTTTATCAAATCTTAACGATAAAAAGAGTGTCTCGATAATAATTGTTGGATATTTTCTCTACGTATGTATGTGTATACGTGTATATGTGTATATGTCGAACAACGAGAACAATACAACGATGAAACCATAAACTTTCTCGAACATTACTAACTCGAGCACGACGAGACACAATAAGAGTGAGAGAGAGACAGAGAGAGAGAGAATGAGAGAATGAGAGAGAATGAGAGAGAACATTTTCTCAATAAACGTGTACTTTGGACAAAGTGTATCGAATCAACTATCGATCTTTCGTATAACGATAGTCAAGCTTTTACTGCTATCTCTAAAAGAGAATATATCGTACCTGTGAGAGAAAGTAATAGTTAACAAAGTTAATTGATCATTAACAAAAGGTTTGTTCTATTGGATTTTTTAATAACTATTATATTAAAATATATGATAATATATTTAATTCGTTAAGACAATAAGAAAAATTTGTATAATAAATTTCAATGATTTTTCTCGCGTACAATTATATTTATTTATTTATTAGAAAAATATGTTAATTTAAATTGTAATATTTTTTATTGATATAATGATGGTAAATTAATTTTATAGATTTGTTGTTTTTTTTTTTGTTTAATATCTGTATGTATGTGTTACTTTTTAGTATTTTATAAATATTGGTAATGTGTAATATATATATATATATTATATATTTTCTATTAATATCATTTAATATACAAAACACATTGAGAAAATTATTTGCTTTTTATTTTATAATTTAATTTCTATCTAAATACGATTAATAGATAAAAACGAAGAGACAACGAGTACAAAATTAGGATTAGATAATTAGAAACAAAAATTAATAAAGAAAAAGACAAAGAAAAAGAAGAAGAAGAAACAAGGGGAATTTTAATTTTTAATTTAAAATAAGAAAATATATTTACGCAGAGATTATATAAATTTTATTCTTGCAAATGGAGGAGGGAAGGGGAAAAAACTAAACAAAGAGAAAATATAAGGAAAAGAATAGAAAAGCAAGAAAAAAAAAAAGATTAGAAACTAATTGTTCGTTGTAAGTTTTTTCGTACCGAGACAGTAGTGGCCGTGCAGGAATTCGTTCGTCTCCTTAACATCATCGTACCTTCCCATTTTCTTTTAAATTGTGCTATCACCTACGAGAAAAACAAATGATAATTAGACGAAGAAAACAAACGAAAAAGACAAAAAAAAATATGGAACTAGTATAAAATACGTGGTTTTTTTATTTTATTTTATTTTTTAATTTAAATTTCATCGACACACTTACTTACCTCTCCGTTACAGAAGCAGAAAAAGATAGCAACGCAGAGACCCTGTAATTAATCCACACAGATAGAAAAAAAAAAAACCAAACAAAAGGATATAATATGATTAAAATGCATCTTTTATTTGTTTATCTTTGATGATGAATATTTCATTTCATGATAAGGGAAAAAGAAAATTAAGGGTTATTCCATATTAATGGAAGTCTTTGGTATACTAACTTGGAAAGATGCTGTAATCGCTGATATAACTTCGTAAGCATGTTCCCAAGGGTGTTTCTTAGGTGGTCTGAAAGGGATGACTAGATAGTGGAGTCCAAGAAGTGGTACCAATAACATCGTTGCTCTGTATCATAATAAAACAAAAATGAGTTTCTCTTTTTATTTGTTTTCTATCAGTGTTGGTGGAGGAGAATGAGATAAATGTTTATTCGTATTTTGAAAATCGCATAATTTTATAAATGCGATCGGTAAGTCGTTATAAATAAAAAAAAACAAATAAAAAACTGATGTGTGTATTTATGCACGCACGTAATAAGTTATACTTCTTTAGTATATCAAAACGAATATAATCTACATAACCTCAAAAGTAACTTCAATTTGCGCGCGCATCGTAAATATCGAACAACTTCGTGGTGTTGATTTTTCGGTCGCATTTAACTTCACTTTCCAAAAGAAGTATAACTTCAAACAAAACATAATTTTTATAAATGTTTATAGAAAAAAAAAACAGTATAAGAAGTATTACAATATTAAATAATACGAATTTTTTTTCTCTACGTGTGTGAACAATATATAATTAATTTAATAATTAATTATAAAAGATGTGTGTGTTTTGTTTTTTTTACAAATGGAACGAGTAAAAATCAATTGAAAATTATTTACCTAATTAATATAATACATATATATTATTTTATATAATATTAATTTGTTCTTAAATAATAAATAAAATGAATTTTTTTGTATATATACCTAAAAGCTTGTAGCATTGATCTTGATGGTCGAGTTCCTATAGCTGGACCAGCACGCAGTTTCATCAATAATACACGTACGATGTTGAATAAAAATAAAACGTTCAACAAAGTAGAAACGCATACTGGATAAACCAATGCACCCATGTAATTACCCTCGTTGATCCAACATCTAAACAATTTATAGATATAATTAGAAATATAATGAACGTTTTAACAATACGTTTATCGCGAATTTTGTTTCAAGGTATTTTTGTTCTTTCTTTCTTCTTCTTCTTCTTATTTTTTTTTCCTTTCATTCTTTTTTGTCTTTTTCGTGTAAAAATAACGACACAACGAATATAAAAATGCCAATGCACCGATAGAATTTTTCCCGATATTTTTCTCTACAATTTTACTCATACCAGTTTGATATTCATACACACAGACACACAGAGAAGAAGAGAGAGAGAGAGAGAGAGAAAAAAAAGAAAGAAAGAAAGAATGCGTTTAAAAAGTTTGTTTCTATATTTCCGATGTGCAAAAGTTTTCTACGACTGCATCATAGTTTAGAAATTAACAATGACATTTTTCTATCAATACGAAAATGGATTTCTATTGTTTTGTGAGAATTTTTGTCTGTTTCGTTGCGAATATTTATTTAAATTATTATTATATCATTGATCATTGTGTTGTGTTTGTGTTGCGACGTTGAAAATACTCTGTCCTATTTTTCTGTTTTTAATTTTATTTCCACATTGAAATGTTTAATTACAATTTTTTGAAGTTAAATCGAAAGATTCTCTCGCGATGGTATAGAAAAGTTTATTTAATCTTTGACACTCTTCGAGATTTAATTTTATTTTTTAATAAGATCACCCTGACAGTAATTTTAAAATATATTATATTTTTTCTTTAGGAGTAATATTTTAATGAAAAACAAAAAAAAGGAAAATTTACTATCACTGACATGAGTACGACCCTTTCCTTACTATATATCATCAGAGTATTCCCATTTAACCTAGTTTCATATATGTTTAAGTAATGATGCTTACAATGTTATGGGGTTATTATAAGATATAAAATATAATATATATATATATATATTACACATTACCAATATTTATAAAATACTAAAAAGTAACACATACATACAGATATTAAACAAAAAAAAAAACAACAAATCTATAAAATTAATTTACCATCATTATATCAATAAAAAATATTACAATTTAAATTAACATATTTTTCTAATAAATAAATAAATATAATTGTACGCGAGAAAAATCATTGAAATTTATTATACAAATTTTTCTTATTGTCTTAACGAATTAAATATATTATCATATATTTTAATATAATAGTTATTAAAAAATCCAATAGAACAAACCTTTTGTTAATGATCAATTAACTTTGTTAACTATTACTTTCTCTCACAGGTACGATATATTCTCTTTTAGAGATAGCAGTAAAAGCTTGACTATCGTTATACGAAAGATCGATAGTTGATTCGATACACTTTGTCCAAAGTACACGTTTATTGAGAAAATGTTCTCTCTCATTCTCTCTCATTCTCTCATTCTCTCTCTCTCTGTCTCTCTCTCACTCTTATTGTGTCTCGTCGTGCTCGAGTTAGTAATGTTCGAGAAAGTTTATGGTTTCATCGTTGTATTGTTCTCGTTGTTCGACATATACACATATACACGTATACACATACATACGTAGAGAAAATATCCAACAATTATTATCGAGACACTCTTTTTATCGTTAAGATTTGATAAAAGTGTGAAATACTCGTTTCGATGGAAAAAAAAAAATAAAAAAATAAAAAACAGCAATTTTCTTTTCAATTTTTTACCGCGTTATCTTAAAGGAACAAAAAACAAAATTAAAGAAGAAAATAATTTATTTGAATGATTGTCAAACCTATAGATCATTTCTCTCTCTCTCACTCTCTCTCTCTCTCTCTCTCTCTCTCTCTCTGTCTTTCTCGTTTCATTTAAAAATCTCTGATTACAAAAGTCACCCTAATTTTCTGTCCTAATTTATTTTAATTCCTACAGTTTCCTCTCTTACTTTTGTTTCTTTCTTTTTTCAAGAATCCTTTAATAACTCAACACGTCAAATTTGATTACGTTATTTTCTTAATTGTATACTTTTCTTTTTCTTCCTTTTTTTTTTTTCTTCTTAAAATCAACCCCTCCTCTTAATCATTCTTCCAAAATTTATTCTCTCTCCATTTCTCGACGAATTTAAATCTAATTATCATTTAAATGTTTACTTTAAAATATATTTCGTTGAAATGAAAAAGAAAAAAAAGAGAAAAATAAAATAAAAGAAAATTTATTAGTTGGATAATTTAGAAAAACAAAAAAAAATGTAAAGAATGAAATTTCGTATTGTAATATTAATTGTTAGAAATTAATTTTTTTGTAACACCATAAAATGACAAATATAAGAGAAACAAAAAAAATATATTCTCTTAATATTTCTCTTATATTAATTAATTAATAAAAAATAAATACTAAGACATTTGTAAAAAACTTTGTAAGTTGTGCAATAAAAACCTGATTACATATATATATATATATATAATAAAAAATAAATAATATAAATATATTTATATAATATTATTTTGTGTATATATAAATACAAAATATCGAAATAAATAAGATATAATTACTCACTGTTGGGTGTCAACCGGATCGTTGCTTGTTGCCCTTAAAATAGCATAAACGGTTACTATGAGACCTGGCATTGACCAACCAAGTGCCACCAACCAGTTGACCAATTTGTGTTCGCTGGTAAACGCCATTACGAGTAAAGTGTGAAGATAAAATCCTTCGCAAAGCATCCATGCGTAATTTGTTAACAAGAAATAATGAAGAACCACGTGCAATAATCGACATATTATCTAAACAATATAATAATAATAAAAAAAAAAAAGAGAAAAAAAGAAGAGTAAGGAATATTTAATTGCAACGATATATAATCACATTATTCTTATAGTTATATAATAAATTTTGTTTTCGTTTTTTCTTTTATTTTGTTACTTACGCTATTGTTTAATAAAAGATTCGTATTGGCTACGACAAATCCGTACCAGATTAACCATAATGCGTTGTTTAAGGCGAACGATACGAACAAATTCATGTGCAAAGTTATCCTAGCACATCTCAACGATCTTAAATAATAAATATTAATTTGATTGATTAACACAATTATATTTATCTTTTTTTTTTTAACACTAGATTTACGAATGTTTTGTTAGTTAATTTTTTTTTTTTAAATATACAAACATTGTTTGAATGAAGAAATTGGCAGATAGAGGGGTGCAATTAATATTTACGTATATTTTATTATGGTATTAATAATCAATATATATATATATTTAAAAAAAATAATAATATTTAAGTTTTAAATATATATAATATATATTATTATTCCTACATGTATATATATATATGTAGGAAAAAAATTGGAAATGAAACAAATTGGCTCAGTTCGTAAATCTAATATTAAACAAAATTAATTCTATTATAATATATACAATGAAAAACAATTAATAATAAATGATATATAACTTACTTAAAATATGTGAGAATTGCTAATGACAAAAGAAGAGCCACTAATGATATCGCATAGCCTACTTCATAAATACAATTGATACCTTGCTGCCACTGTAAAAGAAAAATAAGACAATAAACAAGATCAAAAATATAATATATTTACAATTATGTATAATATATATATATATATATATATATATGTTTTCATATTTTGATATACTTTAATTGTCCAATTAACTTAGTTGGGTTTAATTAACGTAACACGGTCAACGAATATCGGTTTAATTAATTAAACCGAAAAAAAAAAAAAATAACACAAATAGAAAAAATTTGTAGAACCATATCAAAATTTGATTCTTTTCACCTTATTCTTAAATTTTATATCGGATTATTAATAATAATTTTGTCCACATTTACAAATATAATATTTATTCGAATTTTTCGAATATATATTAGTTGATTCGTCAATTTATAATAAATAATACTATGTGTGTGTGTGTGTGTATGTGTTTCTATATATTTATACTATACCTCGTTTCAAGTGATAAAACTATACTGAAATAATTAATAAACGAATTAAACTGCATATAAAATATGACATTGTTATTTTGTTTTCTTTTTTTTGTTTTAATTAGATTTGTGATAAAAATCGTGATATAGAAAAAAAATTGTAAATAAATTCTTTCGCGTTAAAAAGGATTGAAAAATCAACAAAAAGAAAAACGAAATGACTTTTCGAACGATGTAATACTTACGTGTAAATCATCGATGTTAATGCAAGTCGTGTAATTACTCCAAACTGTACGAGATTCTGGATGTCGAAACCATGAACCATTTATTTCGCAATATTTGTGTGCCATAACTGAAATATAAAAAAAGAAATAAATAAATAATCGATCATAATTGAAGACAATAAAAGTTGTTACACATTTTCTTATTTATTGATTAATCTTACAATTTTAATCGTATTTTAGATAAACGAATATTATTATTATTATTGTGGCCACAAACGAAGTTATGTAAAATATAAATTATTAATTAGCTGCTCTGCTATAGGGGAAATAGAAAAAAGAAAAAACACCATAGATTTATTTTCATCAATATAATTATTATTATTTTCTTAATATTTATATCTAATTATTTTTTTTATTTTTATTTCTTTATCACGGTGGTTTCCATTTTATCATCTCATCCACCACCCACCCCCCTCTGCATGCCCCTCTCATACTTACAATTTTTAAATAAATGATATATATATATATTTTTTTTTTAATTGTTACAAAATGTTCTTTCTAAACGCGTGCTATAATAATAATATTTTTTTAACAATAAATTTTGTTTAAATTGTTATTAAAAGTTAGAAAAAAGTATTCAATTGTGTATTTACAAACGCGACTTTACTATTCGTATTTCATTTAATACGAGCTTTCGATATTCTTCGAAGCTGTTATTATCGATCAAAAGAGAGAGAGAGAAAAAGAGAGAGAGAAAAAGAGAGAGAGAAAAAGAGAGAGCATTAAAGTAAAGTAGTGTGAGTTTAAAACGAACTCGTTTTAATAGTACTTCGAAGAAAATAAATCGTGACAGCTACTGAATCTGAGAATCTGAAATTGAAATTGTAATTTCAACCTATCGCTTATCTAATTTTCATTTTAAATTCAATCAATCCAATAAGAATTTATTTATTTAATAATGTAACAAATTGTTACATTATTTTCTTCGTATTATTTTTGTTAGTTTTATTTAAATGTTTCATCGATTTTACCTTTTTTGTTTTTTTTTGTTTTTCGTTAAATATTAATCAATGAATATTTCGAATTATTTATTGTTCCATTTTATTTTCTTTTTATTCACAGTATTAACTTTTAAACATTAAATATCAATCGTTTCTATCGTAGAAATAAAATTAATTGTTGGAAAAAAGAAAAAAGATAATTTATCGGTTCAAATCTTTGCGAGGAAAAAAATTCATCAAAACTTAACGAGGATATAAAAACGACAAAAAAAAGAATAAGAAAAAGATAATAAGATAACAAGAAAAGAGGTTCACTTAGATTCGTTGATCGATTAAATGATCAATCATTCGAACGAAAAAGACTATCTGTATTTTTTGTTTGCAGTTTTAAATATACTTCTCTAATCTTATTATTAGAAAATGATTGTTTTTTCTTATCGTCACGTTGATTTGTTTGAAGTTAATATTTGTTTTGTATTTCTTTTCTTTTTTTTTTTTGCTTTCGTTTTGTTACCTTTAATAATTGATTTTACATTTTTGTACAAAATATTCAGATTTTAATGTGTACAATAAAAATTTAAATTTAAGATTTAAATTAATATGTAATGATGAATTTATGAATACAAATATTAGTTCTTATTTAATATTATTGATTAATTTTCTAACATTTGTGTGCAGAAAAAAAAACACAACACAATTTTAGTTTATAGAATATTGTCTCAGTAAGGTTTCATGTGTTTCTATTAGGATGATAAATATGATTGTTCATAATTATACAATTTTATCAGTTGATTATTATTATTTTATAATATTATTCATTGTAGGTATTTATTTATTAATTA